AGCCCCCCTGGAGATGGTCAGCCCCATGATGATGAGCAGTCCCCCTGGAGATCGTCAGCCCCCCCAGAGATGGACAGTCCCCATGGTGATGGGCAGTCCTCTAGAGATGGGCAGCCCCCCTGGAGATGGACAGCCCTCTAGAGATGCACAGCCCCCCTGGAGATGCACAGCCCTCTAGAGATGGTCAGCCCCCCTGGAGATGGACAGTCCCCATGGTGATGGGCAGTCCTCCTGCAGATGGGCCATCCCCCTGGAGATGGGCGGTCCCCCTGGAGATGGACAGTCCTCCTGCAGATGGGCAGTCCCTGGAGAGGGCACTTACGAGATGGCCTCAATCATGTCCATGCCCATCTCCACGCAGCAGTGGGCGTGGTCAGCCCTGGCTTCAGGCAGCCCCGAAACGCAGTAATAACAATCCCCCAGGATCTTAATACGTAAACAGTGATTCTCCTGGAAAACAAATTAATTTTAAAAATTAAAAATAGTAGGAAAGAGAAGTGGGAGGGAAAGAAGCGAGAAGCAAACAGATTCACCCCATGCCTGGAATAACTTACCTTTTAGGGCAGCGAACACAGACCCAGGGCCGGCACAATGCATGGCCCCAGCCCCCGGACAGGCTTATCAGGAGCCGTGGGGGACGGAGGACAGGCTGAGCAGCACTCAGAGAGGCATTCCAGCCTCCCCAGGCTCAGGAACTCACTTTTATGGCCACAGCAGAGGCCCAGGAAGAATGTAGCTGGCCTACTGTGGCAGCTTGAGGGAGGCCCCAACCTGCATGGGAGTGTCCCCAGTCGCTCTCCACCCCTGGAGCACACTCTGACTCTCGGCCTAAGGTTCTGTGAACAGTTTTCTGATTCTTCCTCTTTTACAGAAAGACTGAAGCAGAAATGAGACTTAACCACCAGCTCACCTGACCCTCAGACTGTCTGAAATTTTATCCATAAGAGTTCTGCTAAACCAGCAAGCCCGTGTGTGCTAAGATACCCAGAGCACTGAGGGACCTGCCAGCTGCTGCCCACCCCGCTGCCCATAACGGGCACAGCAGGGTCACCCCGGCAGGCTGTGATCAATCCATAACTGGGATTGAGATATGTCACTGATCATCAATTAGGAGCTGTCCAAATCTGGCTCCCAGGAGCTACTGCATGAAGCTGGGATGCTGGCACTCAAGTACCCGTGTGGCCTAGACTCTCATTTAAGGCCTATCCAATGCCCAAGTGCCCAGCATGAATCCGTCCACCTCACCCACGTTCAGCGATAAAAATAATGAGTGAGGTGTGGGGCCCACCATCGAATCCCTGCAGAGGCCCCGGCACCAGCCTCTCATCAACCATCTGGTCTGGCATCCTGGGAGGGCAAAGGGGACACATCCACATGTTGGTGGACATTGCAGTAAGTGGCTCCGACAAATAATGACTCTACAAAAGGCTCAGAGCATCACTCAAAGCCACATAAGCTGGGAAAGGATGACAGAAACGGAAACAGGGACCTAATGAGCGAATGTGTTGTTCACCCCTCCACGCCAAGGGGTGTGACTGCTAATTTGTCGGAACACTGAAAGAGTCTTCTTTCAGGAAGCCTCTGGGGGGTGGCACACAGCTGTCTGCAGGCCAGTTGGGATTCAGGCTCATTCTCTGATCACTCCGGCCAATCTCATCAGGAAAGTGGCTCTGTGATACCTAATTTGCCCAGCAAATGGAAATTCCTCTGGGGTCTGGGCAGTATTACCAGTAGGCCTCACCACCCCCTTCCACTGATGGAGGGCTCACCTGCTCTCCCTCGTGACTGGTGACACTGTGAAAGCATCTGCAACTGAGAGTGTGGCTGGGGCAGACATGGGGCACGAGGACACACAGGCACAGCCCATGCGGCCCCTCCGCTCATCACCAGTTCTCCACAGGGGGCTCTGCCCAGAAGGGCACAGCTTGGCAAAGGTCTACTCCTGGAGTTCAGCAAGCCCTTGACCACAGCCCCTCCCTCAGGCAGCCCAGATCAGGCCACCCTTCTGGCCCCGGCTCTGGCACACGGGGTGCCCGACAGCAGTGGGCAGGGTGACTCACCGCGGCCAGCTTGTCGAAGCGGGCGAAGAGCTCGTTGAGGGTCATGACCAGCTCCTGGGCAGTGCACTGGGACGCCAGGCTGGTGAAGCCCTCAATGTCAGCAAACAGGATGCTGGGGAGACAGGTGGAGGAAGACCCCCATGAGGGAGGAAGGTCGAGGGAACAGCCAGGGCCCACCCTCGGCCATAGGAGGGCTGCCGGCCAGCGAGAGTCCTGCGGGGCTCCAAACGGCCCCTGGCGCCGGAGAGACGAGAAGATGGCCTCTCCCGGCTGGTGGGGAAACGCCAATCGGGTCCTCCTTTCTGCACTCTACCTGCACACTCGCTCCCCCAGGAGGAAAGGGGCAGAGGCGCATGAGGCTGGGAGTGTGCAGCTGCCTGAGGTGACCACAGACAGGGGCCAGGCCCTGTTTGACCCCTGAGCTGTCCCCTCAAGAAAGCTGGGCCTGGGGATGAGGGGCCTTTGATTCATCTGCTCTGGAGAGCGTTTCAGGCCTGAATGGCAGCCATACAAAGGTCTCCCTTCCCAGCCCCATACACAAGGGAATCCGACCCCAAGCCCTCCATCCCGAGGGAATCCTCTAGAAAGGACAGACTGAAAGAGGCCCAGAAGGAGAGAGAGGAAGACACAGCCAGTATGCATCTCTGGAAGCCTCCAACTTGTCCCTGCCAGCTCCTCCGGCCTCAGCCCCAGGAGCCCCATAAAATGCAGCAGCCGTCCCTGTGTTGCACATTTTGGATCTTTTATCCGTTTCTAAGACTCATGTTCCCAAGATTGAAAACGTTTTCCTTTCTTTCATAACAGACTACTGGAGGTGAGGCCCCAGAGCCAGCATGTGTGAGGGCCCCTAGAATCTTTTTCTTAAAATGGACACAAGATCGTAGTGACTCTCTTGTCCTGAGATGCTCTTACTGGCCAGACACCAGGACAGGAGCTTCCAACACAGCATCTGAGTCCTCTAGGCAGCCCTGAGGCCAGGGCTTGGGGTCCCCACCTCACAGAGATGAGGCAGAGCCTCAGGGAAGAGGCCCGAGACCCAGCACAGTGGGATCATCCTCCTGGGCCTCCGCTCTTCCCACTACAACACGGGGCCCCTGAGGCTCCAGACTGACAGTCTCATTGCTTAAATTGAGAATGGAGAACTAAACATATTTTGTCATTTTATTCCAAAAATGTGTGTGGGTGCATTAAGCATGTCTTTTCATTCTGGTTTTTGACATCTGGGGTCATATGGCTCCAGGGAGCCGGTTCCTCTGGGCTGGCCAGTTCCTAGAGACAGTCAACAACTTGCCTTGGAGTCCAGAGCCCCAACCCCAATCAGGCTCTCACACCTGGGGTCCCTACTCCTCTGCCCTCATCACCCAGGGACAGGTACCAGGTAACTCGGGATGGTCCCTACATCCCAGAGCCCACTGAAATTACTCACAGGAGCCAATCCTAAGGCTACTGACCCTGCCTCACCTGTTCCTTCCCACAGAAACCACAATAAAGGCTCTTGCCCATGTTTCCCTCCTGCTCCCTCTGCCTCCTGCCTGACCCTGGTGTTTCCCCGGGTAGCCCCCCCCATGGTGTGGCACGCCCTCTCCTGTTGGGAACTGGGAGTAACAAACTGCCTTTTCAAGGGCAGTCATCTCCTGGTCCATTGGCCTCACCACAACTAGATAATAATAAAACCGACATTTTAAAACAATTGGATACTGTTCTAAGCACTTTATATGTATTAATTCATTTAAGCCTCTCAATCACTGTGAGGTTAGTATTCACCTTTTACAGGTGAGAAAACCGAGGCACAGAGAGGTTGAGTCACCTGCCCAAGGCCACACGGGCAACCTGGCTCCACAGTCCAGGAGTTGAACCAGTAAATATTATGCTGTCTGTTGGCCCCACAGTCATCTTAAACAAATACAAGCGTAATTCAATGGTCTGGCATTGTACGTGGGACAGAGGGAGGTGTAAGGGGCATGCGTGAGCTGCTGTAGATGGGTGAGGACAGGACTCTTTCCAGAGGGACCACACTCAGCAGCCGCTCACCAGCTCACATGAGAAGACGTGGAGAGAGGCTGGGCCACCAGGGAGCACGTCCCAGGGCTTCAGCCAGGCTGTGTCACCTCCCAGGAAAATATAGGAGGGCAGCGCCCAGGCCCCGAGCCCAGAGCTGTCTCCAGGCATCCCGGCCCCTCCGGCCACTCTGATCCCAGCCCAAATCAGCAAAGACAACTGCCAGAGGAAAGCCAAAGAGAGTGGGAGAAATGCGGGGACGTGACAAGAGAAGAGACAATGAGGGGAAAGAAGAAAAGGTGAGGAGGAGGAGCGGAGAGGAGAGACACTGTCCCGTCAGGCCACAGCACTCAGGACATCAGACAAGCTGCTCTGGAGTGGGCAGCCACGGGGGCAGCAGGCTCAGAAGATGAAAGGGAGTCTGGAGTCTCCATCACGCTTTGATGCTTGGTGTCTGACCCTGCAGACAGACCCAGCGCCTCGCCCGGGGGGGCGTCTGTGGGCGTCAGGCATTCTGGGGGAGAGAGGAGCGGGTGACGGGGATGCTGCCGTGCTCCAGATGCTGATCTGGCTCCTGAACTAATAGGTGCAGACCCCCATCTCGGCCCACCTGCCACTTCCCCGGCTCTCAGGTGGCCACCCCACTCCACCCAGGAAGAAGAGAAGAGTCTCTCCCAGCCTGCGTAAAGCACCGTTACAAAGTTGTTCTGGAAATTCTTCTTTAGCTCTCAGGAACTCAAAGCCAAGACAGGTTGGGGCCAAGCTTGGCTGCACCAGAGTTGAGGAAGACATTCAGTGGGAGCCCCGGGCTGACCTCAGTATTTCACATGCACAGCCGGTGACACCAGGCCCAGCGGGGGTTCCACCCTGGGTCCAAGGCCACAGAGCAGAAGCCTGGATCTGGGGGCTGGTGAGACCCTCATGGTAGGAAAGAACAAAGTTCCAGAACCCAGCAGAGGCAGGCCTGCTACTGAGCAAGGGAGCCCACAGCGCCAAGCCGAGGAGAAGAGGGAGGAGAATGGGCCGCCCCTGGAACAGGAGGAGATGTGTGTGGCCCGGGGCTCACTGAGCTCTGACCCGTTCCTGCACACCCAGCCACTCAGGCGGGACCGGCCTCTGCGTGCCACGTAGGGACATGGGCGGGCCTGCGATCCTCCTCCTCCACAGGGCACCTCACTGGGTTCTCCTCCCAACAGACCAGTGGTTCTTAGACCTGATTCTACTAGAATCACTCCCGAGCTTTGGCAGAGTCCCAGAGCCCCACCCCTGAGATTCCGACTTAATTGGCCTGGGTGGGGCTCTGCTATTGATTGTTTTTGTTCTGTTTTGTTTACTTTAAGCTTCCCTGGTGATTCTATTTGCAGCCGGGGTTGAGAACCACTGTACCAGTTCAAATGCCACCTTCTCAAGGAGGCCCCCGCCACCCTATTTAAATCTATGACCCTCCCAGAAGCCTGTCTCCCTTCCCTGCTGTGTTTGTCTCCATTGCACTTTTCACCGTCTAATATGCTATTTATTATTACTGTTGTAGTTATTTGTTATTATGCTCCTGTCCGTCTCTCCTGCCTAGAATGTGAAGTCCCCGAGGGAGGGATTTTTGTCTGTTCCATTCCCTGCTACATCCCACCCCAGCACGATGTCTGGCACATAGAATACCTGCTCAATAAAATCTGCAACCGACTGACCGAATGGATGAGGACAGCTCATGTCCACCGTGCCCTCTGCTCTATCCACCCTTCACACACATACACACACACACACCCCCAGCACATAGCAGGTGCCTGTATTAATTTCCCAGGGCTGCTATAACAAAGCACCACAAACTGAGTGGCTTAAAACAAGAGAAATTTATGTTCTCACAGGTCTAGAGGTCAGCAGTCTGAAATCAAGGTGTTGGCAGGGCCGTGCTCCCTCTGAGACTATGGGTAGAATCCTTCCTTGCCTCTTTCTGGGGGTGGCTGTCAATCCTTGGCTTGTAGCTGTCATCACTCAATGTCTGCCTCTGCCGTCACATGGGGTTCTCCTTGTGTGTGTCTGTGTCTCCTCTTCTTATAAGGACACCACTTACACTGGATTAGGGGCCTACCCCATCCAGCATGACCTCATCTTAACTTGATTTAATCTGCAAAGACCTTATTTCCAAATAAGGTCGCATTCACAGGTACCAGGGGTTAGGACTTCAACATATCTATTAGGGGGACACAATTCAACCCACAACAGTGCCCAATATATATTTGTTGAATGGCAAAGAATATTCATAGTTTCAAAGCAAGTAAGAGGCAGGACCAGTAACTCCAATAGCTCTTCTTTCTACCCCAGTGGGCCTCTTGGGGTCCCAAGCACGTCATCTGAGACACAAGCCTGCAGATCCCACGACCTCGCACCCAGCGGACGCTCCAGCAATGTTCTGGAACAAATGGGGGAATGGTTACGGAGGCCATGGGGGCAGCTTCCTGGTTCTGTGCCAGGAGATGTCGGAAACAACATGGGCGTGTGCGGGGCCTTCAGGTGGCTTAGAAAGCCTGACGCTCCCTCCAGTCTCCTGGGATCTGCTCTCCCACGGCCCCCTCCCAGGGCTTTCAGCGGCTGCTGTGGAATCAGGGAGGGGCAGGTTGCTGGCTCCCTTTAGGTGGTGCGACAGAGCAGCCAGCCAGGGAGGAGGTGGCTCAAAGTGGGGCTTCTAACGTGCAAGGAAGCTTGGACAGGGTCTCCGAGGTCTCAACTCTGAACCCCTGCAGCCTCTCCTACACATTTATGGAAACTCTGCCACCTGCGCCTTCCCCCAACCTCCTGTCAGAGGCTAAGTCCTACTCCCCTGATGCCTGGGGAGCATTCTGCTTGGTGACTGTCACCTCTGGAGGCGCCTGTTTTATGAGGTTTACCCGGTGGCAGACTGTCTGTTCTGCTGGCCAAGATTTCCTGATCTGCTCCTTGGTAATTCTGAAGGCCATCTTACAATCCGCACTGGGCCCAGACATGCAGCGAGGTGCTAATTCATCGATTAGCTCCCACTTGCGAGCTCATCTTGGCAACATGATCAGTTGAAGCCGGGGAAGGCCCACTCTGGCTGTGCGCTCCTCCCTAATTGCCTGCCATTCATCACTCACGGTCGCT